AGGATCTCTGATCTGAGCCTGATGAGACTAACTGAAGGATACTACCGCTTAATAGAGTTCTTCAGGAAAACCTAGTATGCTTAGTTACAGAACATTGACCATTTCTCTCTCTCTCTCCCTCTCCCTCTCTCTCTCTCTCTCCCCACTCTCCCCCCTCTCTCCCTCTCCAATCTCTCTCTCACACATACACACATATACACATAAGTAATAAAACATTGAAGATGAGAGAATTATGCTTTTTAATGCATAATACATTGTTTCTTGTTCTGTTTTCGTGGTGTTCATATCTCATTTTCAGCATCTGTTAAATGTCCCCCTTTAATATTTTCTTATTCTGTAATCCTCAGTCTACCCTAAAACAAGCAGCTCACTTCTGTATGTGAATCAGCAAAGTGTGACTGACCCTCAGTACAACCCTTTGTTTTAAATCATTTCCATCTAAGGACTATGTCATTTATTCTTATAAAAGTAAATTAGTAAAAATGCAAAACAAATGGTGTAACACAAGTTTAAAAGGGGATTAATTCTTAACATCTCATCAAATATTCATCTCCCCTGGTAATCTGTTCCACTCAGTATACTTGGGTGGCTTTTGTTAACACAGAGGCACACAGACACACACATTATAGATATTCATTTATATTTTGTAAACACATTTATTCTGACTATGTTTTAGGGATGGCAAGCACTTATGTTAATAATTAAGCATTTATGTGCATATCCTAGAACAGTGTTAGAGCAACTATGTTTTGATAATTACTGTATATTATTTAAATGAAACAATGGTTTTCATGATAACATGTTCATCCACATGTATCATCTATTTTGCTCAAATTTGCCACCCTGCCCTCTCTTGATCCCATCTGCCCTCCCTGAAACTGGACCTTATCTTAAATAATCTCCCTTCTACACTCATGTCATATATATGGATTCTGTTATGTTTTGATTTCACAGAAAATGCCCTCCCACTTTTTATTCTCCAAATAGTCCGTGAATGTTTCTCCTTGGGAGCATTTCGATCATTTATGAGAAATGTTTATCAGCTTCTTGGCATGTTTGGCATGCATCCATTTAGATATAAAACTGGAGCCACTATTGTGTTTCATAAGCCTAAATTGGAAATAAGTATAAAAGAATCCTGTATCAGAAAGGATCACTTTTTGTTGCTGTTTATTTTTTGAAAGTTTGAAGCTAAGTAAACAGTGTCAGTTAGCAGGTGAGTTTTCACTCTCCATTACACAATGCAGTGTAAAGTCTCCCATGTCCTCCCTGTACAGTTATGGTATTTAGGTTTGATGCCAGCAATGCTGCATTGCTGGGAATTCAGTTTTTCATTTTCAAAGTTTTGGGAGGAAACTAACATGCCTGAGCACTTAAATAACCACCCGTATCTGGTGAGTACCATTGTGAGGGGGGGTATTGCTTGTATCACTGTATTATTACCATCGTCATGAATTAGGTATCAAAGGAATTTCATATAATTATTAAATCTAGAGAATTATACTTACAGCTCCAGTTGAATAATTTGCATTCAGTCCAGAAAAGGAAACTGTATTATTGTGTCTCTTCATGTGAGAACAGCATTCTGAACACTCTTCTGAGCAGAATGAAACTTCACGGAATTTATAGATGAATTTTACTGCAACATTGTATCTAGGGAACACAAATTTGCTCTTGGTCTGGTGCCAAATTCCTTCCCCTCTCCCTCTCTGATTACAAGTTCCTCCAGTCAGTGTCTATACCTTGCCCACTGACCGCTTCCAGAACAGTTAATGCATGAAGGACCACACTGAAACTGGTGGATACAGTATCACGTATCGGTATTGTGCTTAGTGAGTAATGCCCTCAGAAATCTGTCCTCCCAAGAAAACTCACTGACAGATACATCTCTCAAAAACTTGGGAACCTAGGATGTGCCTATTTTTGCATGGAGACAAATTTCTGTGTGAAACATAAATTCAGGAACAAATGTTTTCAAATAGTACAATTAATACTTTATTTTTATTTTATAATTGTGTGTTTTATTAATATACAACTCTTTTTTTCAAAGGCTTTAAGTAAATTACCTTTCTTTCCCCTGTTCAACTTCCTCTCAACCCTAAAATACCCCACAAACAGCAGAACAAATAAGTTTCTGGGATAAGAGCTTATCATTATTCATAAAATGACTGAAACATTTAGACGAGATACAAAAGAAAACATGCTTTTATTAAGGAGCAAGCATTACAGCAATGGACGGGCAAAGTTGTGCAGCTTCCTTTGGCTTGGAGGAAATTTGACTCAAAATACTGGGTGCCTGCTCATATGTATCATTAGGAAAACACGAGCTCCTGAGTGGCCCATCATATACCAGAAAGCTCAGAGTGTGGAAGGCATTCATTAGATGCAGTTTCCTTCTGCTTAGGCAAAGTATGCCAGGTGCCTGTTGACATTTGGAGTCAGCAGAACATTTTATTTTTGTGGAGTTTTTTTGTTTTTAAATTAACATATAGTGTACAAGTTTTTGTTGCAGCATTTTCAAACAAAATTTGCCTATCTCGACTCTCCTTTTACCCTTCTGTCCTCAGTGGCCCCCTGCTTTTCTGCTTAGTAACTTCTAACTTGTAACAAGTTACTCAGTCTCTAAAAGTTCCAGTTTTCCACTCTTTAGAATGGGACCAAGACACCTATCTCAGATTAGCAAGGAGACTCTATTATTTTTATGCAGAAATAGACACGAGGCAAGGCGGCTTCTCTGTAGGCCTTCTTTCTTATCAGGTCTGATGCTGTGTGCTATGCTGCAGTGTTCCTTGAAATTTCATTTCAGGCTGGAAGTGAGATATGTAGACTCGATTGATCAGACCAGTTTTATCAACCCTGTTTAGAAACTGCTGAACTGCTGTGATTCAGGAAAAAGTATACTGTTCTCTGCTTGGTGTATATCAGTTTAAAATCCATCCTTTCACTAATCTTAAATTATAATTCACTCTTGAATCACACCAGCCATCAGCCTTAATACAAGTTAGTTTTTTCATGCTCTGGTATATTTGGCACCAGAACATTGAAATAACCACGGTCACGACTATATGAGGGAAAGAAATGACTGATCGAGATCTGTAACTCATCTCTCTGTAGCATTCTGGGGTAAGTCCATGCTTATACTTTAGAGCATATGCGTCTCTGTAAGAGTCTTCTTTCAGATATTATGAGCACTCAGGTCTGGAGGAGGAAAAACTAATTTGATGTGGTCAGCCAGGTCATTTATTTGAGGTCCAGCTGCACTTCCTGATGGCCACTCTTGTTTTTCCACCTTCAGGGTGGCTTTGCAGTGTGTTACTCTGGGAAAACACTCTGGCAGACACAAGGTCCTGTACTTTCCTGGTCTCATATAGAAGCTGCCTCAGGTGTCACAAGTGCATGCTGAGTAGACATTAGTCTACAATAGCCCAAACACCATTCTGAAACAATGAAATAATTTTCAAGGTCACTTAGTGTACATTTAATCAAGTCTGTTTTCATTTTTGACTGCTTCAGCTACTCAGTGTTATTCAGGAGACAAAGATATTTGCTATAGCAACTGCTGTAGGCAAGCACCGCAGGGCGGGGTGGATTGGAGAGACTATTCTCATTCCACAAAGGAGGTACCCTTGCTTTTATGAAATGATATCTTTGACCTACTTCAGATTAAAAGCAGAATGGAAAGGCACATACACAGCATTATTTAGTATTTATATGCCCTTATTTTAGTGAGATCTGTTTTCCCTTGAAAGACAGCAATAAATATACTACAAATACAAAACTAAAGTGCATCAATGTAATAATCCAATTATACATTCTTCTCTTCTAAGAGTAGAAAACATTATTCATTTTCAGTTTTGAAGGTGCTCAACCTTTCTTTATAGAAAAACATTTCTATAACTTGGTTAGCATGGACATGGTCTCCTCAGTCTTGGCACTGTTAACATTTTGGCCAAAGCATTCTTCAGTGTGGGGCATTTCTGTGCATTTTAGAACATTGAACATCTGGGACTCTGCTCTAGATGTAATTCCCCCCACCCATGTATGCAAATATATTTCAAGCATTTACAAGTTACCTGTAATTGGCAGAACAAGTGAACAAGCAAAACTTGTTGAGAACCTAAGAACACACAGCCTACTTAGAGTAGAAATTCTATTTACATATCCAAATCATTTCTTTACTTCCTTTACTTTGTATGTGGTTGTATTAGTTACTTTTCTGTTGTTCTGACAAAACCCTGTGACCAAGGCAACTAAAGGAAGAAAAGGCTTATTTTGGTTTCTGGTTCCAGAGGGAGAAGATGTCATGTTAGGGAGGCAGTTGGCAACTGAAGTGAGAAGCTGAGAGATCACATCATCAACCCCAAAGAGGGAGCAGAGAGAATGAACTGGAGACTGGGCAAGGCTAGGAATGCTCAAAGTCTGCTGCCAGTGTTATGTTCTTCTAAGAAGAACACAACGCTTTCATGACCTTCTACAAACAGTGCCATCAACTGGGGACCAAGTGTTCAAATCCTTGCTCCTATCAGAGATTTTTCATTCAAAAGACCACATTTTACTCTCCAATCCTCATAGGCTCATGACCATATCATAATGCAAAATGCATTTAATCCCTCTTTAAAAGTCTCCATAGTCTTTTACTGCCTCAACACTGCTCAAAATTCCAAGTCAAAAGACTTTTTTGAAGCCTAAGGCAATTTCTTTTTTTAATTTCTTGAGAATTTTATACAATGTATTCTGATCATATTGAGACCCCCATATCTCCCTTCAGATCCAACCCCCACCTCATTACTCCCTAGCTTCATGTCTTCTACCTCTGACTCTTACAATCTTTCTACCCTGCCGGTACCAGCCGGCTGAGATGAACAGCACCTGAAAGGGGGAGTGAGGTTGAAAGAAAAACAAAAGACAGAGAAAGATCCTTGGGAGGACTGTCAGTAGAGACTGCAGCCCGTTTTATTTCAGCTCAGCCTTCTTACACAGCAGAATATCAGATAGCCACAGTTTGCTTAGCTGAATTAGCTTCAACAGCTCTTTTTTTCCCACCTTTATCTGAGGGTCAAGGAACGGTCAAATACTTGTGGATACAACCATTTAATTATCTTCCCTAAATTATCAATGCATTCCTCCTAACTTGGCAGAACAATTCTGTACTTGTGTGCAAAACACACAAACTTGAGTCAAGGCGAAAGATCATAAAGTAAACAAGCAAGCCTGCCACAGCTCAATGTACATAATGGCTGTGCTTATACTAATAGCTCCCAACACTACCCTCCTCTTTCTAACAATTCCTGAGGCTTGGGAGGTGAGGGGATGATATAGGCTTCCCATTTAGGACTGACTGAACACTAATGCTCTCTCTGTTGACCAGTTGGGTGTCTCTGTGTAAATTACAATCTGCTGTAAGAAGATGTCTCTCTGGTGAGAGCTGAGAGATACAGTAATCAATGAGTATAATAAGTCATTAGGAGTCAGTTTAGTATGATGTCAATTTAGTAGAATTTAGTAGGGTCTCTCCTATGGCCTGTGATCTATCTAGCCAGAAGGTCTTGACCCTGATGATACCACCAGGTATGGGCTCCATCCTGTGAAGTGGACCTGAAATACAATCAGAAAGCAGTTGGTTACTCCTATAACATTCATGTCACTATTGTTCCACTAAGCATATCTTGCCAGGCCAATTGTTATTATTGTGGTTCACAGATGAGTAAGGATGATGATAACTTTTCTCTTCTGGTAGTGTGCATAGCACCTTCCAGCATTAGGAAAGCTGGCTAATAGAGATGAAGTTTAGTGATCAATATCTGCTTGATTTCTCCATGTTTGCTTTATGACTCAGGTGTGTTTTCCTCAGAAGTAGGGTCTTACTGTCAAGTTATGGGGTTTAACCAAGAGCAATAGCAATAGTCAGTATTGCTTGATGTTAATGTCCTAGTCAACAACTCTAAAAGACAGAGCTCATGTCTGTCACTGGGCTTTTTATTTGTTAGTCTGGTAGGGGCACTGTCTTCTCGTTACAAGGAAATACCATTTAAATTATATATATAAACTATAAATATAGGATTCTACAGTAGTAGGTTTCCATATGACTTTTTCAAAAGGCTCAAGGCAATCCCTTACTGTAACCCTCCTGTCTGCACACTTGGCAAATGTCTCACAGTTCTAGAATCTCTAACATCTTGGGGTTTCCATTGTAATGTAGGTTTCACCTTCACAGATTTGCACAATGCTTTTTCAATGCATCTTATATTCTTAGGAAATTCTTGCAGCAACTCTAGTACTGATATGTGTTGCTTGGCCTCAGTTGCTCTCTGAAATTGTGGAGAAAGAATCCATGACCCCCTCACTTTTGTATCTTTGATACCTCTGAAGTCAGTATCATGTGGATCACACTGCCAAGTTCCAGTGCCAGTTAGGCATAGACACTTGCCCCCTTGAATTACATTTGCAACAGCTTTTGTATGCTATTATTTCCCAGGAGCAGAAAACTTCTTAGACCTTTACATTTTCCAAGTTGGAAATTTAGCTATCTGTGTAAGGTCTTGTACTGAGTGTACCTTTACCATTGTTCTAGCACAGGGAAGGAGGCCTCTCCTTGGTGGCACTAATTAAAGCCTCTCTTTCAGCACAGGTCTTGGCTGTAACAGTTCCCCAGTGTTCTATTTCTCTCCAAATTGTACATTTTATATTTCTTTCTCACCCACTTGATCTTTCTTATTATAGACCTGCATCAGAGTTATCAGTAATAACCATGCCTCAGACTCAACATTATGCTGTCTTAAAATTTCTTCAGCCAAAAACTCAGTCCATTGCTTTTAAATTAGCTTCTGGAAAGTTATAAGGACCAGACTAGAAAGCAGCCAGTCTTTACAAAAGTATTGCAGAAATGTCCTTTAGCCAGGCTGCTATTATATCCTTTTTTTCCTCTAAAACCTCTTGAGCTTTATCTCTACAATCTGCATGACTTTCAGCCCAACTACCTCAGGGCTCTTACTAGAACAGCCTGTTATGCTCTGCTCATAACATTCAACTGCTTTTTTTCATCTTAAGTTCCAAAGTCTTCCAAATTCCTCAAGTACAAAAACAAACACGAAACAAAACAAAACCAACATGATCAAGTTCTCCATAGCAACAACCCACTCTCTAGTATCAACTACTATATTAATTACTTTTCTGTTGTTGTGACAAAACACCATGACTAAGGCAACTTAAGGTAAAAAGAGTTAATTTTGGTTTATGGTTGTAAAGGCGGTGTCCATCATGCTGGGGAGGCATGGCAACAGGTAGCTGACTCATGAAACTGAGAGAACACATCTTCAAGAGTCACAAACAGGAAGCAAAGAGAGCCAATGGCAGTTGTGCTGAGGTTGTGAACTCTCAAAGCCTGCCCCTAGTTACATGCTTCCTTCAGGAAAGCTGAACGTCCTAAAAGTTCCATGACCACTCCAACAGCACCACCAGCTGGGGCCCAAGTGCTCAAATACTTGAGCATATGAGGAGCATTTCTCATTGAAACCACCTACCACAGTGGTCTATGCATATATGTGATGTGTATGCACATGTAAAGGCCTGAGGTCCATGTCAGGAGCCATCATCTACAGCTCTCTAACTTAAAGTAAAATATTTATTTATATTTAAAAATAATTTTTATTTATTTGAAAATTTCATACTTGTATACTGTAGCTTGACTGTATTCACTCTTCATTTTCCCCCTCCAAATTACCTGACTCCTCCTAACACATCTCTCTCCCAACATCATGTCTTCTTTTTCTGCTTTTTATTATTATTTTTGGGGAGGATCAGGGTTTTTTCACTCAACCTTGAGCTTGAAATTTTGGCTATACCAGCTCTCCAGCAAACCCCAGGAACTTCCTGACTCCAATCCCCAGCATACTGTTGTTACAGAGGCAGGCTGTTGTACTTGGCTTTTTACATTTTGTTGGCGATCCTAGTTCAGGTCCTCTTGCTTGTGCAGCAAGAACTTTCTCCACTGAGCCATCCCTTCTATCCTCCAAGTCATCCTCTGCCCTCCAGGTTATTTCTTATGCTACAGTTTTGATGGTATTTTACAGATCATTGTCAAATATTTTTTACTACACAGACAAAAGAATTCGTCAGTTGTATATAACATAGAGGCTTTAAATGCATCCATGGATCTTTAGAAGCTCAATGGTAGCCTTAAGGGGATTTTGAACCCCACATAATTATTTCTTTATCTATGGACACTTATATTTTTGACAAAAGCATGTTTTTCTTTTCCTTTTCTCTGTGTAGGTATATAATGCATGCTTGAGCTTACACTTGCCTGTGTGAGGGTGGAGAAAGTCAGGTGTCTTCCTCTATCGCTCTCCACCTTGTTTTAGGAATAGAGTATCTTATTGTACCCAGAGCTTGCTTGAGGATAGTCTGAATGGCCACTGTACTCCTATGACCTGTATGCCTCCACATCCCTCCATCTGGAATTATAGATGCATTGCTTTTTAAAACATATTTTATTTATTACTTTTATTTTATATGTAGGAGTGTATTGCCTACGTGTATGTAAGTGCACAGTGTCGTGCAATGCTTGCAAAGGTCAGAAGAGGGCACTGAATTGCCCTGGAACTGGAGTTAAGAACAGTTGTTGGCTGCCTCGTGGGTACTGGGAATCAAATCCAAGTACTCTGCAATAGTATCCACTACTCTTAACCACTGAGCCACCTCTCCAATCCCTTGTGATTGCTAGGATCCAAACTCAGGTCCTCAAGTTTGGACAGCAAACACTGTATCCACTGAGCCATCTCCTCAGCCCCTCGTTGATGTTGTCACTGTAGTCATTCTGACATACCATGCAGATAGACGTGTGGTGCTGGGTCCCCCAGAATGGAAGGTGAAGAGAGTTGAACAGTATCACAGAAAAGCACAAAGGAGAATACAGCCTATAACTGTCATTCAGTGCTTTTGTCATTTACCCCAGGGCCTGGTACAGTACTCCACACTTGGTAGGAATTCCGTAAGTCTCTGGTAAATGAAAGAATAGACGTTTTACTTTGCATAGTAACATTCAGTATATCACATGGTTTCCTAAAACTCTTTCAGTTATAAGCATGCAACTGACAGAAAGAATTGTTACCTTATCTATTTGCTCTAAGATACCAGTGATGCTGAATCATCACAAAAGACTAAGTCTTATTGCTTCCTCAAGGACAAAAGTGCACTAACGTACGCTAAAAAATTATCAATAAGAAGGTTCACAACCGAGGGTCATGGCACTTAAAAGCCAAACATCTCTTAGCACCAGAAACAAAGTTAAAAGGACAGCTTCATTTCCTAAACTTTCTGCACAGTTGCAGTTTTATTGTCATTAAATACTAATTTCCCTACTTAGTCTTTCATGGAGTCACATTTTTCTTTTGGAGATGAATCTTGCACTCCCAAAGAGATGAGGCAATGCTGAATTCACAGAGTGCCTGTGAAGGAAGTTGGAGCAGTCTGCAGGAATGCTCCCTGGTGGCAGCATCCGTCTAGGGTCAAGGTCAAATGTGGAAAGTGATTCTTTCCTGAAGGAAGGCATCAGTTTGGCTTTTGTTAATTTGTGCTTCCCACTGAGTCCCTGACCCACAGTTTGGAATTGGGGTGAAGGTTGGACTAGAGGGATCACAGCAGTCATGTAATGGAGGGTTCTTAGGTCCAGGTGTGCAGGTGGAAAATCTTATAGCCATAAGACCTCACTCTTGCTCTAAAGATGGAGGCTTCTGATTCCTGATGTACCCTAAGAATCCATTATATATTCAGACTAGGGTGAAGACTTAACTGCCCTAAGTACCATCTTTCTTTGTTCATTTGAAAAACAGGTAGTGGTTCAATTAAGATATTAAGTAGTTTTTTATTAGATATATTTATGTCACTAAAAGCCTCAACTCTGTGTATCACTAGGGTGATTTTTTTCATATAATTTAGGCATTCAGAGCAGACCAGTAGCAATTCTAGAAAATTTTAATGGCCCAAACAATTAATGTAGATGTGCAGTGTGCATGGAACAAGCTCACTGGGTAAGTACACATTGCTACTTCTCTTCCTGCTCTCCTGAACCTGCAGCATGGAGGCTTTTAACAGATGTCAAATGGTGGTGGGAAATGTTTTTGATGACATGATTCAGTAGGGAGAATTATATTGCTTATTAGGTGATAGTAAGAAGGAAAATAACCTTTTTTGCTGTGCTGACTGGCACACACTCACACTGTGATCACTTAAGTCTGCTCTCTGTTACGCAGAAATACCAAGTTGTCATGCAAATATTGACTGAAGAATTTTTCAAGGGTGAACATAGACAAGGAAAAAAGGAGAAAGATTATGACAGATTAGGTTTATTATGACAGGCTTTATTGTTTTCAAAATCAAATTGGTTTCTTGAAGCTGAGAGAAGCCAAAGCAAGCGCAGAGGAAAGAGAAGGAAGAGTGGGCAGTGTGTGGGGAGCAGCAGTGCTCCTGGTCATGTCACAGACACTCCCAAATGAGTGCTTGAGATTAAATTATCTCATCATTTTCCTGAGGATCGAGGTGATAAGTAATGGAAAAAGAAACCAAACTCACACTCGGGCTCTGCACATTCAACCTGCTATCTAATCCAGTGACGTCTGTGAGGCTGCCAGGTCTAATTACAGATTGGGAGGCTCCCTCATGTATGCTGTCCTCACTGTCAGGTAACAGTAGGCTTGGTGCTTCTGGTTTTGAATACAGCTTTCAAAACCACTCATGCCATTTTTATTACGTATGTATCCAGATAAAGAATTTTATTTGATAAACAAGGGCACCTATTTTTATACCTAGACACATTTCCCCTTCTTTTGAATTACTGATATGAAAAAGTCTCAAATCCTCTGTTCCAAGTGGAGTGTATGTTCTCTGATCAGCAAGGTCTGGGCTGATGTCTCTATGGTTGTTTTCTGACTGAACTTTTTCAACAGCATTCGGTGCCAGTTCTGTGTGTGTGAGAGAGCCATCCTCAGATATTACCTTAGGAACATTGTGATGAGTATATTAAGTGTACTTGTTTGTAAAATCTGATGCCGTTTCTCATTTCCAAGTATATATGACTCCACTTGTGGTTTTGGCCCTGGGTATATTCAGTCATATGCCAAGATACTGGACTATCCCAGGCAGAGTGGGTCACAGAGTCTCTTTGCTCAGAGGCTGTTAATTCTGTTTGTTATATTGAGGTTATGTACATGTACCTATCTATATCTTTACATGTAATGAAGTCATTTTTTAAATATTTGGACCCTATTCCTTACCTCCAATTTCTTCTCTATCCCTTCCCCTACTTTTCTCTTATAATTTCATTCTCATTCTCTCTCTCTCTCTCTCTCTCTCTCTCTCTCTCTCTCTCTCTCTCCCTCCCTCCCTCCCTCCCTCTGTCTTTTTCTTGACTCTTTTGTTGTTTTAGATTTTTGTGTATTCTGGATATTAATCCTCTGTCAGATGTGTAGCTGGTGAAGATTGTCTCTTACTTTCTGGACTTCCTCTTCATTTTATTGATTATTTCCTTTCCTTTGTACAGAAGCTTTTTAGTTTAATGAGATTCCACTTGTCAATTGTTGACTTTAGTGCCTGAGATACTGCTGTTCAATTTATAAAGTCCTTTCCTGCACCTATATCTTGTAGGGTATCATCTGTGTTTCTTTTTTTTTTCCTAATAATTTCAGTGTTAGGTATGACGTTGAGGTCTTTGATCCATTTGAAGATGACTTTTGTGTAGGGTGAAAGATAAGGGTTTAATTTCATTCTCTATAGCTGGAGATCCAGTTTCGGCAGCACTGTTACATTGATCTTTGTGTCTGTTTCTGTGCCAGTACCATGCTATTTTTATGACTGTAGCACTATAATATTGTTTGAGATCTGGTATCATTATCTCTACAAAATTGCTCTTTGTGGCCTGGACTGATTTGGCTACACAGGGTCTTTTGTGATTCCATATGAATTTCAAGAGTTTTTTAATTCTGTGAAGAATATTATGAAGGTTTTGATTGGGATAGCATTGAATCTATAAATTACTTTTGGTAGGATGGTCATTTTCATAATATTAATTCTATCAATCCATGAGCATGGGAGGTCTTTTCACTTCCTGGTGCCTTTGTCAATTTCTGTCAAGACTAAGAATTTTCATTGTAGATATCGTTCATGTTATTGTTTAGGTTTATTCCTAGGCTTTTTACTTTTTGAGGCTATTCAAAGTGGAAATGTTCCCATGAACTCTCTGTGATTGCTTGCTATTGGTATACAGAAAGGGCATTGATTTTTGTAAATTGGTTTTGTACCTGCCACTTTGCTGAAAGTGTTGATCATTTCTAGAAGTTTTCTAGTAGAATTACTGGGATATGTTATGCATAATATCATATCATTTGAACATAGGGATAATTTGAATCCTTCTTTCCTAAATACTACTCCTTTAATTTCTTTCTCTTGTCTTATAGCTCTAGCTAGAGTTTCAAGTACTATATTGAAAAGGAGTGGGGATTGTGGATAGTCTTGTCTGATTCTTGATTTTAGTGGGAATGATTCCAGATTTTTCTTTATTTCTCTTATTTTCTCAATGATTTGGCTGTGGATATATATATATATATATATAATATTAATATATGTTTAAATCTTGAGGTATGTTTCCTCCAGTTCAACTCCATCTAGGACTTTTATCATGAATAAATATTGGGTTTTGTCAAAGAATTTTTTTCATCTATGAGATGATAATGTGATTATTGTCTTTAAGTTAATTTATATGATTTCTTACATTTATTGACTTACATATATTGAACCATCCTTATATCTCTGGAATTAAGCCATCTTGATCATGATGGATGATCTTTTTGGTGAGTGTCTATATGCAGGTTCATGCTGAGAATTCTTGCATCTGTGTTCATTAGGGATTTTTTTGTTGTGATTGTGTCTTTACCTGGTTTTGCTATTAGAGTAATAGCGGGATCATAGAAAGAATGTGGGAGTTCTTCCTCTGTTTCTGTCTTTTTGAATAAGTAGTATTGATTATAGATCTTTCCTGAAGGTCTGGTAAAATTCTACTGTGAATTCTTCTGGACTATTTTTTTAATTGGGAAGCTTTGTACTACTTTTTAAATTTCTTTATCCATTTTGGGTCAGCTTAAATTGTTGATCTCTTCTTGGTTTAATTCATCCATTTCTTTTAGATTTTCAAATTTAATAGAGGATAGGTTTTTAAAGTATTCTCTTACAGTGTTACAGTGTTCTTGATCTTTTTGGTATCTTTTGTTATGTTTTCCCTTTTGTTTCATGTTTTGTTGATTTGGTTTGCTCTTTTTATTTTTGGTTAACTTGGCTAAGTTTCTATCTTGTTTATCTTTTCAAAGAATCAGCTCTTAGATTAATCAATTGTGTTGTTTTGTTTGGTCTATTTCACTGATTCCTGATCTGATGTTTATTATTTCTTCTCATCTCTTAAGTTTGGGTTTGGTTTGTTCTTGCCTTTCCAATTTCTTGACTTATACTATTAAGTCATTTTTTGTGGTTTTCTGATTTTTTTAAATGTAGACACTTAGAGCTATAAATTGCTCTCTTAGGGCTGCTTTTACTGTGTCCCAGAGGTTTTGTAATTTTGTATTGTCATTTTCATTCTGTTACAGGAATACTTTTATTTTTTTCTTGATTTCTTCTTTGACCCATTCATCATTTTTTTTTGAATTGTAGACACTTAGAGCTATAAATTGCCCTCTAGGATTGCTTTTACTCTGTTTCCCAGAGGTTTTGTAATTTTGTGTTGTCATTTTCATTCAGTTACAGGAATACTTTTATTTTTTTTCTTGATTTCTTCTTTGACCCTTTTCATCATTCAGGAGTGTATTGTTTAATCCCCATGAGTTAATGTGATTACTAGACCTTCCTTTGCTATTGAATTTGTTTCATTGTGTTGTTGTCTGATATAATACATGGAATTAGTTCTGTTTTTTGTTTTCTTTGTTGAGGTTTCTTTGTGTTCCAGTACATGTTCTATT